AACATGTCCAATATTTGACTCAAAAGTAACAAAATAATTTAGTCAAGAGTATGGTAATATTTTGCCATGCAAACAGAATATTAGACTGGAATTTCTTCATAGACAGAAGAGTATTTTCCTACTGAAAGCAAAGTAAATAAATAGTGGCTCATGGAAGCTGCTGGAAAAAAAGTCCAGTTGATGCCAAAGGCACCTTTTGGTGGAAAATACTGTTGCCACATTTACATGTGTTTGAAGCAAAGCAATGTGAAAGTGTAGTGTCTTTTTTCCTCTTATGACTTACATTTGACATCTCCTGACTATGACATTCCATCAAAGTAGGTAAAGAGCCTAAAGGGAGTGGAAACTTTTGTTGCTGCTCTCTAAGCCTTGATGGAAGTGTTTCTGAAATACAGAAGTTTACAAAAGGAATTTTTGGTTTATACGATGGCTGAAGAGAGGTGTCTATTTATTTGAGTGCAAGAGAAACATAAAACTAAGGGCTTCTCTTAAATCATTTAGAGTCATATAAGCCTCTCTTTATGGGAAAGAGATTTAGAAATTTGAATCAAAATGTAACTGCAGCTTCATTATCTCAAAAAGGGCCAAAAGCTCATTGTACTGTATAACTGGAGCTATTAAACAGCTGTGGATGGGACTGTATGTATCCATTACTATAAAACAACATATGAGCTCTAAAAACCAAAAAGTCCTGATCCTTGGGTGTAGCTCAAGTAAATTAGTTATATTAAAGATGTTTAATCTGGTAATTTTGAGTTCAAACTGAACATTATTATTTGTTTAATTCACCTTCATGTTTAAAGTGAAAACAACTGCAAGAAATGAAATATTGCTTAAAATATTCAAGGCAGAAGTGTATGCCTCAAGAGATAAGACTTTCAATGTTAATTAAGAGAACAAAAAGCAAGCTTCAAGTGTTATTTACAGGTTCTTGACATATTCACTGATGAATCATAGGATGCTGTAAAGGTTATTCTGCCTATTACAAAAGAAGTGCACAATAATTGTTTTTTAATCAACTTATTTTCTTCACAAAGTTTTATTCTATTTAAGACAGATCAATGTATTTGAAAAGGGAAACAAAGATTCTTTTTTTTTTACTGTTTCAGCTAGCTAGCTAGCCAGCCAGCCTCATATGTGAGCTACAGTTGTATACTTTTGTATACATTTGTATACATTTGTTGTATATTTTTGTACAAATGTTCATTGTTGTACTTTAAGTGTTAAGCATACTGCCAGCACAATTTTTAATATTTTGCAGTTCCAAGACACTCACTTTATTTTTAGGAGTGTCAGGAATGTTTGGTTCCACTGCCAGCACATCAGAAATGATGGATTTCTAAAAGCCAATGCATCATTTTCTTTAGTACAATCAACCTTTATTCTTTCTGCATGCATATTTATCAACCTGATTGGTAATTTTTTTGTTTTGTTTCCATTAAGATCTTTCTCATGTACAAACGTGCACTTTTTCTTCATTGTTTATCTGTTGCATTAGACAATCTCCTAGCTAAAACAAAACAAGAAACAACTCTTTTCCAAATAAGTGATTTTAGGATAGACAGAAATGACAGTGCATCCTGCCTCTGATATAAGGGATGCTAGACAATGTATAGCACCAGCTGTATTATCATTATCCCAGATTTTTAAGTAAAAACTTTAAATACCACATGCCTTACATAATAATATGTTGCTCATCTTCTGTCTTCTAAAGAACTGGCAACAGCTCACTTCAGATGTGGTTTGCTACAGAAGGACAGATTTTGAGATACAGTATTTATATTTCTTGTTTTTATTTAGACTGCTGTCTAGATTAGATAGCCAAGAGTTGAAAGCTATTATTGTCTCTATAAGCAAGGAACCTAAGAGCAGCAGAAGCTCAAAGATTCAGTATTTTTCTGTTTGAAACATCTTTGTTGCCTGTCCTGGTTTCAGCTATAACAGTTGTTTTCTTCTCCTTCATAGTAGCTGGTGCAGTGCTGTGTTTCGGCTTCAGTCTGAGAACAATGCTGGTAGCACACCAATGTTTCAGCTGTTTCTCAGCAGTACCTACCCTGATCAAGGACTTTTCAGTCTCATGCTCTGCCACTGAGGAATGGTACAAAAAGATGGGAAGAAGCAGAGACAGGACACTTGACCCAAACTAGTCAAAGGGTTATTCCATACCACAGTACGTCATGCCCAGCATATAAACTGGGCCTGGAAGGCCCAGATCTCTGCTCGGGTCAGGCTGGGTATCAGTCAGTGAGTGGTGAGCAATTGTATTGTGCATCACTTGTGTTTATTGGTGTCCTGGGTTCAGCAGTAGCAGTCATGTTTCTCCTTCTTGGTAGCTGGTGCAGTGATGTGTTTTGACTTTTGGCCTGATGTTTTGGTTTGGCCAAGGACTTGTGAGCCTCATGCTCTGCCAGGGAGGAGGGGAAGCCAGGAGGAAGCAGAGACAGGACACCTGACCCAAACTGACCAAAGAGGTATTCCATACCACAGCGTGTCATGCCCAGGATGTAACTGGGAGTTACCCGGAAGGGCTGGGACTGCAGGGTTGGAGGAGGTATTGGTCAAAACTTGGTCGGGCTGGGGGGGCGAGTTATCGGTCGGCTGGTGGTGAGATGTTGTATTCTTTTCCCTTGTTATTTCCTTTATCATTATTATTATTGGTGGTAGCAGTAGTGATTTGTGTTATACCTTAGTTACTGGACTGTTCTTATCTCAATCTGTGGGAGTTGCATTCTTTTTGATTCTCCTTTCCGTCCCTCCGGGAGTAGGGGCAGGGAAAGAAGGCGGGGGAGTGAGCGAACGAGTTGCCTGGCTGGGTTTAAACCACGACAATTGGGTTTTCTTTCTTTTCCCTTTTTAGTTTTATATTCTTTTCCCTTAGTATTTCCCTTATTATTATTATTTTTAGTGGCAGTTTTGTATTATAGCTTAATTATTGTCTTATTATTGTCTTAATTATTAATCTTCTCTAAACCCGTGGGATTTGCATTCTTTCGATTCTCCTTCCCATCCCACCCAGAGGTGAGGGGAAAGTGGGGGTGAGAAAACAGCTGCGTGATTCTGAGTTACTGGCTGGACTTAAACCATGATGCTCATTTACTAAAAGGAGATGGAAGAGCTAATTTTATTAAAAATCATTATTAAAACAGTATTTTTATTATATATCTTAAAAATGAAAAAAAGAAAATCTTGCTTCTTTTCACATCACCACGAATTAAAGGTTAAGATTTTATCTGAAAAAATAAACTCACCATACTGGGCACTGAAATGAGAAATAGCAATCTGAGCTAATCTGAGATATATACACTCAGATGAAAGGAATAGCAGCTAACATTCAAAACTTATTTCAAGGGTGACTGTGAATAGCAAATTAGATACGGCTTGTGGTAAAGTGTGGCTGCCAAAAGGCCATACCTCTTCCTGCTGAGGTCCTTAGACACATTTCCATGTCTGCTTCAGTTTCCCTGCATTTTGTGCACAGATTCAGATTTATCAGTCTCTGGCAGCAAGCAAGGGTAAAGAAAAAAATTGGAGTGAATTACATTTCCCTCAGCAGCAGGTTGTTTCCCTCTGGCAAGAGATTTTCTGACGACCTTAAATGGGCCCATTTAATTTCCAGCCATGTTCTAAAAGCCGTATTAAGTTTTGGAGCAGACTGTCTTCAACTCGGACACTCATTCTAATGTATTTGTGTCAGGTGATGCCCTGATAGACTTAGTTACAGTCAAAACGAGTGGATTGTGTCCTCCTGAGCTGCCCCATAGCCTCTTCCAGCAGCTAGAAGCCTGTCCACATCAGGACATTTGCAAACCTTTCTGTTCCACCCAGTTGACAAAGGGCAGTGAAGAGGTCCTTCCACAAGCCAAAAGGACCCAGTTAGGATTGAAAAATATTGGCTATAAAGACAGAAGTCTAGGCTTTTTAAGGCTATATGCCTCTGGCATCAAGGATCAGAAATACTCCTATTATTTCTCTGCATGTATGATAACAAATTCTTGATAAAGAAAGGATGCATTGAAGAGTAAGCTAAAACAGCACAGATTCAATAACTTGGTGTATGCAGGTCTCCAAAAATATTCTGTGTAAATTAATCTGTTGTTTTCTACTCATATACTCCCTTGCTACATGCACTTATCACTCTGGACCAAATTATTTCTGTTTATGTAATTAATAAAAAAAGTCAGTGCACAGCTTTTGTCAAAAGCCTTCAAACAGATGTACTCCAGAATGCTTTAGGAGTAGCGAAAGAGTTTAAGGACCTACTTTGTGCAGAAACAAAAGGAAAAGAAACAAACAAACCAACCCCTCTCTTTGGATTTCTCTGTTATTCAGATCCCACGGTCCATTATTTATAAATAATTTTGATCACATATGAGACACTTGACTTCATAACCAAATGTTGCTCCTAACTGAAATTAAGTATGCAACTTAAAATTTTTGATTAAACTTTAAGAGCAAAATCAACTCCTATCTAAATGAAAAATAAGCTTTATTTTCAACAAAGAAACAAACCCCAAATTATTCTCCTAGAGCCTATTCTTTCACACAGGTGTATTTTCAGCACTTTTAGCGTAGTCCTGCCTATAGCCTCTATATCATTTCCCCTCTTTTTTTGATAAATTAGATTTGGTTATTTCTCTAACTATTTACATTAAAACATCAATCCTCCACCTAGATTTAAAATTTTAACCCAAATGAAACAATTATTGTTTTCTGAGCCCCAAAACAGCAAATAAACTTTCTTTGTAAGCTAACATAAAGCCTGTCATTTAAATAGCTTGTCAAATGGGTGAAAAATGCATTCAATTCTTCTACTGTATGCTTATTACAGGTATGTAAATTACAGTCTAGGGAAAAAAAAAACAAACAAAACAACCAGATAGAAGTAATTCTCAGCAGCAGAGTCCTCAGAATGGTATGGGAGAGATGTACTATACTAAGTTTCCTTGTGGTATCAGTAGTTAAAACATGCCTTGGAAATGTACACCTTATCCAGTGCATCCTCACTTGAAGGAAGAACAATTTTTATCTATTTATTCTTTTGTACTTCTAATATTAGCATGTGATTGTCACCATTACTTGAAAGAATTCCTCTATCAAGAAAGAACAGCAGAAAAATCTGAAGAATGCTGACAGCATGGCTATGGTGATCACATGGAAATCTACTAGGCAACACTTCACTTTTTAAATGAAATTTTCATCAATTAATTTTAAGAAGTAACATTTCTTCTGGCAGAAGTCTTCTCCGTATTTCAGTATGCAATGAAAGACAGAGGAAATAATATACAGAAAATAATAAACAAGATGTCTGAAACAATGTAAGTAATCAACATTCTTATAATGATTCATGTATAAAGGAGGATTTTATTTTTACTCTCAATGCTAAAAATTCCACTAGCATGGTAGTACTAAAAAATGTACTGTCTAAAAAAACAGGGAAACATGGCAGCATCTGGCTGTGAATATTCTTCTATTGAGTAGTGGAATCTACAGATATTACCTATCCAGAAGGAAAATCGGATTGCCCAGAAGCAACAGATACAGAAATTAAAAGGCTCATGGTCTTTTGTCATTGAATGATACTTAGTATACTCTGTAGTGGTAGTAAATAGCGGTTTCTCTCTGCCTCAGAGTTAATTTAACACATTCTTTATTTTGTAAAAGTTTATTTGCTAGTATAAGTTACATCAGATAGAGGGAACCTACGTGAAAAACATATTCTCAGAATGCCAAAGGCTGCCAGCTGTTGTTCTTTCCTCAAGATGCAAACAAGCACAGATATCCAGATATTCAGCAGAATGAGACCTGTGTAGCTTACTATTAAAAAAGAATTTTTTTTAAATTTTATGTGGTATAGATATATTTTTCATCATAATTTTTTCTATGTAAGAGGCATCATGAAGATAACATCCTTTAAACAGAAACATTAATGCAATATTATGTACAGTGTTGGACAGCCAGTACTGGGTAATTTCAACAGTCTTACAGAAACAGAGGAGAATGGTTTAAAATCAAAATGTTGCTACAGAAAAAACTGTTATGTCCTGCAAACTTTTATGTTTTCTCTGGAATTTTCTTTAGAGTCTGTCACACTGCCATGTGCTTATAATTATTGGGTCTATTTGGATTTGGTAAGGGTATAATGTCTTGCTTTTCTTCTGGAGTCTTTAAAACTGTATGAAACTTGTTTATAAGTTGCTGTCTAGTCTATTCTTTAGTTCCCTAACAGGGAAAGCCGTACTCAGTTTCATATTCTTATGTACAATTCAGAGTTGCATTCTTTATTAGAATAATATTTACTATAATTCAGACTTCCCTCTTAGCATCTTCTAACTTCATGCCTTAGATTTACCCTAGTTTGAATCTTACTTCCTTTCATACTGTCATTTTGCTTATGGTGTGCAAAGGGGAAGAGCAACTTATTAACAGCTTTCTCTATGATCCACTGACCACTGTTCTATTTGGCTGAGCCAAGGATTTCATAGCCCTTAGGCAGAAAGAGAATTTGGCAAAGCAAACTATTCCTCTGTATTGGGCCTGGCTAGGGTGGACATAAGTTCCCATAGCAGCCCCGATAGTGCTGTGCTTTGTAACTATCAGAGTGTTGATAATGCACCAGTGTTTTGGTTACTGCTGAGCCATGCTCACACAGCATCAAGCCTTTCTCTTCAACACCCCCCACCCCCCAAAAAAGACTAGTAGGCCACTTCCTAATCCACTGTATCACCTAATCTATTGTAGGAGGTGAAGAAAGCTAATTGCATAGCTATGTTGTAAGAGATTGTATGGTAGAGCAGAATGGCCTTTCATTCTGAATGTTCATTCCGTCATCAGGCAAAGGTACCTGCCAACTCCACCAACAGAAGCAATTTAGGCATGCCAGGCCAGAGCTTCATACAAGATATTTAGGTTCCCAAAATTTTTAAGACAGCACACCATGCTAAGAAGTGTAGTGGCATTCATTCTGGACTCCTTGTAGGCCATGAAAGAAAAAAAATCAATTCGTTTGCAACTAGCCCAGGTGCATGGGAACTTTGTAGATGCCATTTCTAATCTATCTATCTTGGCCTGCACTGTTGCAAAAATCTGAAGTGTGAGAGCATGTTTTACAAAGCTTGTGATACATCCCTTTTCTGCATTCAACTAATGTTTTTTGCTTCCATGTCCTGAGACAAATCTGTCACTTGACTGTGAAAATGGAATATCTGGAACTGATATTCCAATTACACTTGGTGGTATGGGAGTACAATTAGGCCTGCTATATATTAGCAGTTCTTGTATTTTGCAGTATTTACTCTAATTAAAGTAACTAAGAGTTTATTAAAGGCACACTGAATCCAAGTTGACTCAAGGTGCAGCTTTAAAGCAAACTAGCAAAATGTGTATGCTTGCGTAACTTCATTCAGTGGTATGATTCAGTTTCTTTTAGACTGGAAATAAGAATAAATTAAACTAAATTACAGACTATTCTGTCCTAAATTACTGTTTCCATGCAAACGTTTGTCATCACTTAATTCATATAAAATTAAAGCAGGTCATTTTTCTTCAGTGTCTCTACCTAGGCAAGGCTCAAATGATTGGTTTTGGCAAGCATGTCATCACATGATAAAACTCATGTTATGATTAGGTTGAATGTAGGCATTTATCTTCTGCTGACAGCTTCAGACAAAAGGAAGTGAAGCTATTGTAATAGTAAAGTGACCTTTCTGCTTTAGGGGTATTGACAGCTATCCTCTTCTATACAGCATGTTTGCCTTCATGATAATTAGGGTTTTGATAGTCTATTGTTGATTTTTATACTTACAGTGATCTTTCTTTAAATGTTTGTAGATTTCATCTGGTTTTCTCAAAGTAACGTTTACTATGTAACTGACAAAATGTCAGCAAACAGTAACACATGCTTTCTTAAAAGAACTCTTGCTTTTTTCATGTTTATATCAAAACATAATTTCACTGACCAGAAAAAACCTTGTTCTTTCTTTTTCAGTTTTAAGAAATGTTTTCTTAATGTATACCCCTTTGGGATCCATCTGGCTTGAAGGCAGAAGAGTAGACCTACTGCAAAGATTCATGTGTAAAATATAAAGTCATAAAATTATATTTTGAATACAAGAAAATGAAGCTGTATTTGCAACAGCTTTCAAAAACTGAAAAATTCAGGCAGCTGTGAAGTGAAAACCTTTATTTAGTGATTTTTAAAATAAAGATTATCTTACTGCAAACTCATAGTGGGAAATGTTATACTAAGTGAAAAAAAAGGCTAATTAAAGGTAGACGAATTTGATTTGGCAACCAGTCAGGTAACTAAGAAAGACCTATTATATTTTCTGTTGTTCAATCTGTCTGCCTGCTACTCACATTTTAGATAGGCTGTCTGGCAAGGTACTGGCACTAGACATAGTTATGGCCTGACTTTCCATCTTCTTGGTCACTACCACTGAATAAATACAAGGATTATCCTGATTTACTGCAGCTGTAAATCAGAAATTTACCAACCTTCTTTCCTCAGGGTAAGGGGGAATTTTGACTTTAGAGTTTGGCTGAAGTCGTAAACTAGATTTTAATGTAACTCTTCTTTGACAATGCCACCCTGTGGTAGTCAAGTTGATTCACTGCTGCCCAGAAATAGAGCTCAGCAAATAATTCACAGGGCTATTCCCACAGTTTATGCAATATCTGTGACTAGCCTGCTGCTTCCCAGCATTAAAAATTTATTTGCATGTTTGACAACTATCTTTTAAGTGACTGCTTTTGGATTGTTCATGTATATATGCATAATGATGACTTCTGAATAAACAAATCCTATGCTTGAGAAGAAATGCTGTAGTCAATGAGGTGATACTTTGCCTAGAAATTTTTCCTTCCTTCTGTTGTTAGACCACCACTACTTCAACACTAGCATTATCATTTTTCAACATACATTTATGATTTAATGTTAGGCCACTTTAATCTCTTTACAGAAAGTTTCCCTCCTATTCTGTTGTAAGTAAAGGGAATTTAATAGCAAAAGATTTTCAAGGGCACAGATACCTTACTCAAAATCCATTGAACTTCAGATAAGGAAGCTCTTCTGCATTTGTGGTTTGACTTTTAGCTTTACATACTGTTTATATAATGAGATTCATGCTAGAATCTAAAAAAAAAAAAAAAAATTAAGGAAACACTCTAAAATGCATCATCAGGAAACTATTCCTAAAGCTATTGAACAGCTTCCAATTTTCCAAGTCAGCTGCAGATGTGGAAACATAACTGTCACTTTAGAACAACATATTACATGTAATAGCTTATATCCTACAATTTGTGATGAAGAAAACATCCTATATGCTATAATAGCATTGACAGTAAAATCAGTGAAGTCTTTCCTTATTTCTTCATAAAATATCCTTATTTATGTCTGATATGCCATAGAAGAACTGTTGTTTACACAGCTGATCTTTCAGAAATCCCAGCAACAACTACCATTTATTTTCTTTATAATTATTAATCATTTATTCTTTGCACCAAACAGAGTCTTACCTTCCTTTTACACATGTGGACTTCAAAGTTCTTATTTCTTCAAGGATTTTACTACTTTTCATATACTTTAAGTGTGTTTGATGCCTTCTGCTCTTAAAAGAGCATCAGTAATATTTGGTGGTAGGCTACTTGCAGGCTGCTGTAGAGATAGAAAGGGGAAGGACACTGGACTTATTAATATGAGAATATTGTATGTCAACAATGATGGGCTTAATGGGTAATAAAGACCATGTGCCGGTACACCTTCTATCCATAAACATCACTGTTCATGTAATTGAAGCCTCTCAGAATTACTGAAAGACCCTAAATCTCATGAATCATACATTGTCAGCAGCTGCTACTTAATTTACCTTAAGAAGGAGCTGTCTTCTGTCAAGAGTGTGCTTGCCAAAGAAAGATAGAAGTGGATATAAAGAAAAATTAATTCTTTTACTTCCAGATCCCTAAAGGGCTCTCTGCAATTGAAATTCTGGCTAAAATTCTGCAACTCTGGAGAAACACATAGATCATTTCGTATAGTGGCATTAGGTTTTTGATCCACTTTACTCATTTTTTATTACTTGAATCATCCTCATGGACTCTGATTGCTATTGTTCAGGCAGACAGGTAGACAAATACAGATGCATATACAACATTTGTGGACAGAATCCGTATAGAGTAAACTTCATAAAATAATCTACAACTTAACTTACCTTGAAATATCAACAATCAGTCCAAATTCTTTTAATTTTTGTTCTCTCAAATGCAGTAAAGGACAACAAAAAATATGCCCATTTGTTTTTAGAAAAAGTTCTTATTAAGGAGAAATTATGCAGAGATGAAAGAACAGAAAATTGATTTGATTATTAACAAACACTACAGTAATATGAAGTTTAGTTTAAGCTTTCCAGGTAAAATCATCATATTTTACAGTTTATTTTTCCACTTCAAAAAAAAAAAGAACAAACTAACCAATGTGGAAAGTTTTTCTTCAATGTTGCAATCTGGAGACCTCTGTCAAGGACACAGGCAAACTCATAATACTTAGATCTGGATGCACACTTTTTCAAAGACTGAAAGGATCTAGTACTGGAAGTTAAGCTCAACTGTTGTTTCAGTTTCGTATGCATATTCTAACTACCTGCCTCTTACGAAAAGCAGACAAGATTAAATTGCCCTTGCAATATATCACTTCCTGGCATCAAAACTGCATAATATTATAAAAGAATATGGCACATGCTGTGATGTTTACACCTGTTGCATGCATTTATTTAAAGAGCCTGCCATTACTTGGAGCAATTCTTCTGTTCTTATGGTAGCAACAAGTAAGTGAGGAATGAAGAGAGCTGCCTAAAAGTCTCATGCAGCTTCTTTTTATGTCTATACTTTGGAGCTGTCAGTGCCAAAAGCTATGATATAGTGTATAACAGGAATACAGAATTATCCATGCAGAAAACATAAAGAAATGTGAGTCTAAAGGTGAGCTTTAGGGTAGTTACTTATTCTAGATAGCAGTTTCTATAAAATGATTTTTTCCATGATGCCAGTAATTTTAACAATAAAAGTGAAAGGAAAACAGATTGGTCTTTAAAAGTGACAATGTGCTGATTGAAGTGAGCGATATTCCTACACATACAAATCAGAAAGAACCTTTCCTCTGTCTTTAGTGGTGCATAAATCAATCAGCCTTGCAGAGCCAGATCCAGAATTATTTTCTCATGATTAGAAGATCCTTTATATAAAAATAGATCGTAGAATCATAAGATCATAGAATCAACTAGGTTGGAAAAGACCTTTAAGATCATTAAGTCCAATCATTACCCCAGGACTGCCAAGACCATCACTAAATCATATCACTGAGGGCCTCACCTACATGGTTTTTGAACACTTTGAGGAATGGCGATTCTACCACTTCCCTAGGCAGCCTGTTCCAATGCCTGAACACACTCTCTGGGAAAAAAAATTTTCTAATATCCAGCCTAAACCACCCCTGGTACATCCTGAGGCTATTACCTCTTGTCCATCGTTACTTGGGAGAAGAGACTGACTCCCAACTCACTAAAACCTCCTTTCTGGTAGTTGTAGAGAGCAACAAGATCCCCCTGAGCCTTTTCTTCTCCAGCTTCTCTTCTCCAATCTTCTCCAAAATATTTGGCTGATAAACATCTTAGCACAGCCACAAACAATATTTCTGTCTCACCTGTTGTGATATATTTAAACAATAAAATTTACATTTAAATTGATCTTTCCCTGATAATAAAAATTACTCTTTCGTGATGTAAAACTGAAGACAAACTAAATATATATGAACTTTTAAATTACTCTCTCGAGACTCTACCATTATGAGAGGGGTTCAATAAAACACTTCTGCAGATTATTTTTTTCTTGGAGAGTAATCTGATTTGGTGTTATCCAAGCATTCTGCAAGATCACTACAGGTTTGCCTGATGTATTGAAATATCTGCTAATAGCTTTAGCAAATAGCAAATAATAAATCGAATCGATAATTAAATGGTCTGGATTTTTCTCTCTCCGAAGTCATCTTTGCAAAATTATATTCTTAAAATGGAAACTGTGTTTTATTGATGAATTTTTTTCTGATGAAATTTTTTTTTAATTGCATTTAAAGAAGAAGTCAGATGTGTTTTTAGTCCCAGCAGCAGAATGAGATTTTACGGTCCATTCACCACAAGAACTGTTTCCCTGAAGGTTTTAATTCCAGGAATAGTCATTCAGTTTTGATGGGGAAGTTGATAAGAACAAGAGGGAAAACATTTTGCTGATCTATTGGTATAGGTGAGCAACCCGACATTTTAAAAAATAAATTTTGGTAATATAACCTGATAAGTATGTCCCACAAAGGACACAGCAAGCCATGCCCAGTGAAACTTATTAGAGAAATATCTGCCAGAACTAGAAGCATCTATATTCAGAATCATAAAGATATTTTATGAAGAAAGAGGAAGAAATTTCAGGGATGGTCTTTGAAAAGCAAGCCATTTTTTGGCAGTAAAAACAGAGTTTAGCTCAAACCAATTTTCAGATGGAAGCAGTTCTTGAATTTTTCACATATTTGGCTCTGAAACTCCATCCTCTTTTTCAGATGCAAAATGGCAAGGTATCAAGTATTTGGACTTTTATGCTTGTGTATACAGCATACATCTCCCTTCTTGCAGGCTGATTGCACTGATCTTCCAAAGCATTGCTTAGGATTCTGAAGCAAGTATCAAATAATTGTCTACAGTTTTCTCCTTACTACTTTCCACTTTACTTTGGCTTAGCATTCCTCTTTACATTCTTTCCTTTCCCTTGATACTGTCCAGAGACTGTCTGACAGTCTCAGTCAGTTAAAGATGTGGGAGTTAATTCTGTACATACCTATACTTTGGCTTTACATATTTACTTTTGTTTCCCACAGTCCCTGATGCAAGACTGACTCTTTCTTTTAATGCATACACTTTCTTAAGTGTAGATCTAGTCAGATTATCTTATTACTGTTGTGCTAGCTGATAAAGTGCACCAGTGATACTAAAATAATCCATTACTGCCTCAGCCAATCTTTTTTTTTTTTGTCATTGGCTTGTTCACTTAGACACATTTACATCTCTTCTACAGGGATTAGCTTTAACTCTGAGCATGGAGCTGAAAGAGAACAGAAGGTCAAAGCAAAGAAAGAGGAAGAATTCACAAGAAAGAAAGAAAACTAGAAAAACTAGCTATAAGGGCTTGTGAAGACCATGCCCGTGTAAAGATGAGTTCCCCCCTATAATGCACAAGACAATTTCTTTCCTAAATGTTTCTTTCATTTATGTTTGTACCTTTGCCCTGACCCAAACTTTTGTCTCTTTTTTTCCAAAAAGCCCATTGCTAAATCTTCTTATTTTCTCCATTAATTATTTGGCTCCAGCAACATTCAATACTGCCAGGAATTTAAACCTTTTCCTCTCCTGGCTATCATTCTCAGCCTTGCTGACAGGTCTCAAATATAGCCTCTTGGTTTCTATATAAAGATGAGAAGAGTAATGATATTTGAAAAACAGCATGATCTGGAGCTTGAGCTATTAAATTCAGGTTCTAATACAACACTCCTCTTTTTCCCATGTAAACACAAATGACCATAGCAGCCCCTGTGCAAGACAGGGCATCTTCAGCTACTCACCACAGTATCTGCTCTTACAACCAGAAGATACGCATATGTTCATAAGGAGGTGAGAATATAGTCTTGATTTGAGTGTACACTAAGGGCTAGACTATATCTTGAAAAACACAAAAGAGAAACACAACAACAAGTTTCCTTAAGGAACAATGGCAGGGTTTTTTTAAGAATTTTTAGGACAGGTCAGAATCCTGTGAGGCTGTGATTCTGCCTCAGTTTTCTCTGACTTTTCAGTTATTCACAAACAACTAGAAGTTTACATAATTCCAAAGTCTAAGAAAACTAGGTTAAATATTCAGAAAGGTTTAAGAGGTCAGATTGTTCCCCATATTTGAGGCCTGCAGATGACCTGTGTTCTGAAGAGATCAATGCACCGAGTACTCTGCTTTCAAATGTGTGCAGAATTCAGCTCTGGAAAATCTGGTCTACTTGAAACTTGCATGTTAGTATTAGGTCATGATGCTAGGTGCACGGAGCAAGATGC